CAGGTTTGGCAACATGGCCCAGGGCAGCTCAAAATCTCCAGGATGCTAACTGCAGATACGCTCCACCAAACTGTCTGGGCCTTTTGTGGGTGTTCCGGGGCCTACGGAAAACATGGGGAAACTACGACTGCAGCAAAGATCCGCTGGCCTTCAGAATACATATCTCCTACCTTGCGTCGCGAGTAGACTCTGAGTAGACTTCTTGTGCAAAGCTGCCCCGTGCCGGACCAGGCCGCAAAGAGGCGAGCTTGCCCTGCTCGAAGGAAATATTTGGGGTGTGGCTTTCGACTTTGCAGTTTAGGCTTTGGGATGTGTGGGACGTATTGGGACGTAGGACTTGTCCGCGGCCTGGCATCAGGCGAGGCAGCAACTCCAGGGCAGCGGGCGAAATGGTAATGCAAGCAGCTTAATCTGAAGGTGATCAAAGTTTCAAGTGCTGCTTCTGCTAGAATTCATCTCGATAATCCCGGCGTGCACATACACACACACACACACAGCTGTTGTGCGAATGCATGCATGCACGCACGCATGCACGAATGCATGAATGCATGGATGCATGGATCGATGGATGGAAGGATGGACAGATGGATGGCTGGCTGGCTGTCTGGCTAGCTGGGTGGGTTGGTGGGTTGGTGGGTGGGTGGGTGGGCGGGTGGATGGATGGATGGCTGGATGCATGCGCCGTCGGCTGGCTGAGTGGACGGATGAATGAGGGCGGACGGACAAACGCATGAATGTAACTATCCATGAGCTTATAAAAATTTCTGTGTATATATATATATATATATGTATAAATGAAATGCTGAACGTGTGCGTACATATGTATATACATATATAATATACAAAAGTGCGTCTGCGCATGTGCCACATAGAGAAACATACACAAACACACACACACACACACACACTGACTGACTGTGCACTTGTGCGCACCTCTGGATATGTCAACGTAGATGTGAGACGAGAGCCTAACATGTCTGCGCAGTAAGCCTGAGCTTCCTAAACCGGTAGATAAAGCCGAGAATGCAAAACCGAAGTCGTTCGGCCCCGGGAGGGCTGAGCCTCCGGGTGCGGCTGGAACAGAACTGCTGCTCGACTGGAAACCGTGCCTTGCATCGTGCCGGCTTCTCGTTTTGGATTCGGCTCCAGTCTGAAATAGCGTGTCGCGGATTCTTTGCCACTGGATGTGGAGGGCTTCAACACTTGGAACACGATGTTGGACATAATTTCTACGCTTTTTTTGTTGAGCCTTCTTGGCCTTGCCAGGTCCGTACGTACAGACGTACAGCTGATGGACTTCAGGCACGGTCGAAATCATTGCACGTAACTGCTATGGGTGCCCTCGTGGAGAACGAATGCCGAGGCACATGATAATCGCAACGACGGCAGCTGCTCCGTCCTGCAGGAGCACACGGATCTCTAATCCTCCCACATGCTCGGCAACCCAGGTTCCAAGATCTGTGTCCAGAAGGAACACCAGTGCATGCGCACCTTGAAGCCGTACTGCTGCGCAAGGCCGAGAAAATTGCGGTCTGTCGCTTCAAGGCCTTGTGGGCTACAGGCTCTTGGCGAAAACTTTCTGAGAAACGGATGAAAGTACTTGATCATTCGTTTGGGTTTTGCCTGTACAACACATACTGTAATGATGCAAATCAGGCTTGAGTCGGCCACAACTGACCGTACACCAAAGCTGCCGATCTAGGGAGAGATCTCGGCACACACGGTTCTCCTGCCTGCAATGATGCCCATCCGGATCGCGTCCACCTCCTCGGCCTCCCCCCACTGTGCTACCCAAATAATTCAAAAGCCTGTGCATTCTCGGCTAGTCGAAACTCCAAGTCACGTCTAGCTGCTACTTGCAACTCCTCCATCGAAAGTCTGCTGGAAAGTGGAAGAAGGATGAATGCAGACTAGCCACCAGAAAGCTTTCGCTCAGTATCCTCTCTTTTAAGATCATCTGATGGTTAAAACCAGAAGAAAACGGCCACCACGAAGACGAAGACCAAGTTCAGACTAGGTCGTCTGGCGACGACAATGATGATGACGATACTGACCCTGATAACGACTCGACGATGCCAAGACGCACGACGCTATGCCACGACAACCATGACCATGATCACCAGATCACCACTGCCGCCACGACCCCACGACCCACCAGCAAGCTCTTGGACCCACAAGAAGAGCAATGGCCACAGAATCGTTAAAGAATCCAGGCCTCTGTGAGGGGCTCCCAGGGTGCACCTGGGGCAGCACCACGGCGCATGGCCTCCTGGTTAACCAGCTCCCTCACGTGCTGCACAATGGTCTTCGGCAGCTCCTGCGCTGAGGAACTTCGGACTCTTCGGGTTGAGCCTGTCAGGCGCGTAGTGCCACAGCTCGCAGTTGTGGCTCTGGCTCTAGTCAAGTCATCTCTGTTGTAATGGCCTATTGAAACCACAACTCTGACTCTCCCCTTGACTTCGCAGCTCCTGTGAGAGGTAGTCCGCGCAGTAGGTCCCTCTATGGCCATCGAAGATCCCGACCATGTGACCCAAGCTCTCCTGGCAGTTGACAACGGCGCTTTGGTTGGGCACAGGGGCTATGGGCATTTCCGGGAAAGGCTTTCTGGGTCCTGCAGGTCCGTTGCAATGGTGCGATCCTCGTTGACAAGCTTTTGGCCAGCTTGGCTGTCACCACCACAGCTGAGCCCGACTTGGTTCGGGAGCGGGCGCACCTGCACGCACGTGGGATCACCTGGCGCGCTGGTGTCCAGCATGAAGTTCACGCGCGTCCCGTGCATCAGTCCGGCCGGAACCGGCGGCGCAACACCACCCATGGTGGCTGCGTGGCTGGGAATGCGGAGTCGCCGGCTGTCCCGGTCAGTCAAAATCACGCCACTTTTTCTGCGGCCGTTGTACCAGAGCACCGTGCCCGTCTGGGGGCCCGTCGAAGGGTCCTCCTCGACAGGGGCCTTTGGCTGCTTCAGCAGCTTGCCGAAGTCTGGCTTCGCCACAGCACCACTGAGGAGGTTCGCCAGTGTTGGGGGTGTCGGGGGGGGCGGTGGTGGAGGAGAAGGAGGGCGAGGCACTTGCGCCTGCATTGCAGGAAACTGAAATGGGAATTGTGCGTTGGGCTGGATCTGTGGGGGCGGGGGGAAAATTTGGGGGGGCTGGGTTTGAGTTAGTGCTTGAGGTGGCGGAACTGCCATTTTAGTCGGCTCTGCTTTCGCAGGCTCTGCTTTCGCAGGCTCAGCTTCTGCAGAAGATGAAGAAGCCGCTTTGGTAGGCTCTGCTTTAGCAGGTTCTGGCTCCTGACCGTTCGCATTCGGCCCTCGTCTGAGCTCCTCTTGCTTGTGAAAGCTTGACTCAGACTTCATCCTTCGGGCACGGGCGACGGCCTCCTCAAACTCGGCCTTCTTCCTCTTCTCTGCAAGCTCGGCTTCGGCCTTCCTCCGCTCCTCTTCCTCGATCTTCCGCCGCTTCGCCTCGGCCTCCTCACGCTCGTGCTGCTCTTCGCTGGCCTTCCACTTCTCCAGCTCCTCCAAGGTGATTTCTTCCTCGCCGGAATCTGCGTCCTCGTCCGAATCTGCCTTTTTGCGGCGCTTGCCCTGGGCCTCCTTTGCAGCATCGCGACGTCCGAGGGCCGCGGATGCCGCGGCCACGGGCTTGGGAGCCTCCTTGGCCTCCTTCTCCGCTTTCTCTTCCATCTCCTTTCGAAGCCTCTCGGCTTCGGCCTTTTTTTCGCGCCTGCGCTCCGCAGCTCGCTGCCTCTCTTCTTCCTCTTGCTCCTCCTCCTCCTTCCGGCGCTTCTCCTCCTCGAGCATCTGCTGTGCTCGTCTTTGCCGGGCCCGCAGCAGCACCTCCTCCCGCTCCTTCTCCTCAGCCTCTTCCCGTGCCTTTTGTTCGGCTTTTCGCTCCTCCTCCCGTCGCTGTTTTTCCTCCAGCGTCTCAACATCATCATCTACGGTCACGGGGTCTTGCACTGGTGCCGGCTGTGGTTCCACAACTGCCTTCGGCTTCTCACGCTGGGCATAGCGCGGATCCACAGGCCTCTCAAGCTGGGTCCTCTTGGTGGCAGGGTGAGCATAATAGAACGAGCCAGGTTTTGACCTGGACTCCACACGAATCCAGCCTGCAGGGGACCACGATTTGCCGGAAGTTGCACACGCAAAATCCCCAACACAAGCCACTGAATCACAAGGCCCAAGATTTAACAGTTCCTTGTTGGCTGCCTGGTGGAAGCACATCCCGGGGGTCGGCCGCTGCCTCGATGCCCCGCCCCTTCCTGCAGGGTTTCGTGAGGTCAGAGGCTGCACTCCGGCAAAGCAGACGGCTCGAGTCGGCATGTGGTAAATGAAGGCAAAGAAAGCGAGCGAAAACCATGCTGTCAACATGTTGCCAACATTGCCCAAGTTTCAAGGTGGGCAGCGTGCGTCGACGCATGCCGCCGAGGCATTACCTTTGATGCACTTGCTGGTGCTAGCTACAGGGGGCACTTGATCAATCGATCAATCCTGCCGCCAAGGCTATGGCCTTGAGGGCCCTACCTCCAGAAATTCGAGGACCTGCCTCGACTGAAGACCTTACAGCAAACTAAGTTCTCCAGAAGCCCTACAGTGACATAAAAAGACTTTTTGCAGTGTCCAGGCGCATGGCCACAGCCAATGACTGCCGCACAACGAAGCTCATGCATCTGCAGATCATGCCAGGAATTGTAACCTAGGTCCTGTCTGTGGCCACGTTAAAGTGAAGCTAACCGGTACCAGACAGTGCTTCATGGGTTCACGTCAGTGTTGGCTAAAAGATTGGAGTGGCTGCCCCCGGCAGGGAGGTGAGCCACGCAGCTGCAGCCATGATACATGGACCCAAGACCGGTGATAGGCATGGAGTTCTCTTACGGTAAAGAGCATCATGTACCCTACGCCACCTAAGTACAGTTCCTGCCTTCATGTTACGTACGTGCATATTACGTACGCAGCGTGTCTTCAGCGACTCTCCGGGCCAGAAGTGGACGCGGCGGGCCTCTTCAAAAGCTGGCCAAATTCGCTCTTGCAGGGCCACCGGGTCCCGACCTGTCCGACAGAAGTCTAGGACTTGGGCCATGTTCAGAATTTCTTCTGGCATGTCCTCATATGTCCTCATCATGCTGGTATCGCCCTATCCCCTGTCAGTTCTCCTACTTGCAGGGTCTTGAATCGAACCACGGGGTGCGAAGCACAGGGATGAAAGGACTTTGTCCGAAAATTGAACATAAATGGGCCAGGTGACGGAGTCGAACGGCAAATCAGAGCTAACTCTGACTCTGCACTTGCTCGCTGCTGCACTCCTGACCGCTGGCAGGCCTTTGTTTGGCCGCACCCACCATGCACAGAAGGCTCCAAGCCTTGGGTTTTGCTTCCAACTTCTCCAACAAGCAGTTGGCATCGTAAGCTAGAGGGAGCTCGACAGGCAGACGAAGCTCCAACAGAAGGCATCCTCAGGAAAAAGTCTTATCTTCCTTCCGATCGCGAGAGTCCTCATCTTGATTGGGTTTCAAAGGCTAGTCGAGGCATCCAAGTTGCAGATCCCAGCACGATTCTGTCCGGAACAGTCCAAAACCCTCCGCTCCAGCATAGCTCCCACAGCCCCTACTGTAACTAGGAAACTCGGAAAACGTCGTTGGACTGAGTTCATGTGGACACTGTCAGACCCCGAAGGCGCCAGACTCACTGTCGCTACAGATGACGAAACTAAGACGTCTTCAGTCTGAAGCGATAACGACGGCACCAAACTCGCATTTTCGTCATATGCTATCTCTCCGCGAATCTCTTCAAGCAGCCGCACGGGCGGCCTTGGCTCAGGCAGAAAAGTTTCTCACAAAGATATTACGAAGCAAAAGTGGTCTATATATGAGATGAAACAAGTAGATCGATGTCTTAGGCATGTCTCTGACAGTTGCTACAGCAAACACCGACTAGAGTCGGCCCCTGAAACATGCAACTGAAACTTTCGAAAGAGTTTCGGTCTTAGTCCAACTTGCATGTTCGAGCAGTCCCTCTGCATGACCCTGACAAGTGAAGCCGTACATGAACCCGAACACCGGTCCCTTCAGCACAGCATGATACCATTTGTCACTTGTCTCAGCATGAAGCTGGCAAACGAAGAGCGCTGAATAAAGTGCCACGGCCCAAGAAACTGGCTGTTAACAAGCTGCATCGTAGTCCACCACAGGAGCACAGTAACCCCAGCGTGGAGTGTTTGGATCAAGACCTGGCAGAAGATCCGGATCCAGGTAGCACCACTCCCTGCCGGAGTCCTTGGGCTTTTCTTGGTACCAACCGTCAAAAAAGCCGGAGCGCAAGTAGGGTAACAGCTAACGGTACCAAGAGCTTCTTCCGTTCAAAGGAATCTCAACTCGCTCACGCACCGGGCATTCCCTGAACGTCTCCTCCAATGTTCATGCGCTTTGTGTGGATATCACCCTTCTTTTGCACACTGCATTCATCGAGCTACGTGTCATTTCATCTTCTGGATTCCTGAAACGTCTCCAGATCCTTCCATGTGAGTTGAAGTCGTGGTGATGGGGATGAGTACCGAACTGAAAAATGCCATGCAACACCATTCCTGTACTGCACAATGTGGCTGTAACGGGCTTTCACAACTCGGACTCCTTGAGAAGGAGACTTGCACGGCAATATGCTACGAAGTTACAGCCGTCTGGCATCACTTTCTTTGAACCCGCGCTGAGGCAGAAGCGTGCGACAGGCATCACCATGCCACTATACACACACATATGTATATATACAAATAGTATAACTATATAATATGTTTATATATATATATATATTCATTTATGCAACCCCCCCCCCCCTCCGGTACCAACCTTGTTCCTGCTTTGTGTGTTTGGGGGTATAAGTTTTCGTCATCCAGGAAACAAAGAATACTGCACCTTGTTTGTGGCAGTAAACCGCTGCCACCTACACAAGTGCATCTGCTGCGTCATGGTTTTTGCCGGTATTTGCCACTAGGTGCCAGAGAGTGCTTTATTTACTGCACACAGAGCCACAGCAGATGTAGATGAGACACACGTGCATGTTGCCTACTTGCATATTTGCAGCAGAGGCAGTGGTGTCACATGATTGCGCCGATCTTTTGAGTTTAAACATCCAGCACTGCAGATTCAGCACAGACCAGGATATCAAGGTATCATACGCACCACTACGATTTGTGGTATCTTTGACTAAAGTTGTAACGATGAGAAACGCTGTACTGAGGCTACTATGGATAGTTTCAGGGCAATCATCAGGCCTAATATTAGGGTCACCATTGTGATGGCGAGGAAAGTGCTGGGGTTGATGTTGAAGCTCGACATGAGCATCTGCAGCAAGAAGTCGCCCATTTGTATATTGAGGTAGGAAGCAATTAGATTGAAAGTTCAGAACTCATGAATGCAGGGGCTCCTCCTAAGGTCGTGAACTGTTTGGTTTGCGGTTGAGAGTAGTATTCGGGGCTTTACGGAGACTTGCGGTAGGCATAGCTTATGGGTGATATCCGCCGAGGCCACAGGCCCAGGCGTTTTGGTGGTTACCTCAGGTACCCTCCACCTAATCCTCCTCCCTGCAGTCCAAATGTTTGGGGACACCCTGTTTTTGCGCTCGTTTGCCACCCCCTTGCCCGGCCTCCCCTCATTTTCTTTGATTTGCGGGCCTACCCGCCCCCTCCCAGGCCTCCTCCCCCTCTTTTTTTCCTCCACCGTGCCCCCCCCCTCCCGCCCCCTCCCCCCCCCCCTCCCCCTCCCCCCCCCCCTCCCCCCCCCTCCCCCCCCTCCCCCCCCCCCCCCCCCCTCCCCCCCCTCCCCCCCCCCCCCCCCTCCCCCCCTTTTTCTTCCCTCTTTCTTCCCTCTTTCCCCGCCCTCGTTTCGTCTTCCTCGCCCCCGCTTTGGCTTTTGCGTCGTCAATCCACTGCCTGTCTTTCTTTTCAGGCTCTTTCTGTGTTGTTTTTTCTTGCTCCGGGCGGCATGGCTGGAAGGCCTTAACCGGTTACAGGCCCAGGCGTCTTGGTGGTTACCTCAGGTACCCTCCACCTAATCCTCCTCCCTGCAGTCCAAATGTTTGGGGACACCCGTTTTTTGCGCTCATTTGCCACCCCCTTGTCCGGCTCCCCCCCTCCCCGACACTCCCGCTTAGCATGCTGTATACAACATCCACTGCCGCCTCGCCCTGCCGCTACAGAGCCGAGGCGGGCGGCGTAGCGTTAAAATTAAGTTTGCACTAAATCCATCTTAGATTCAGATATTAGGGTTGCCGGTGAAACTCCAGTGTTTCTATACTGTGCCAACCAGGTTAGTTTATGATGTTGGATTAATTTTCGAATTCTGGTAGATATGGAGAGTTAACATGAGAACGACTGGTGGGGTATTAGTCGGCATAGCATTCTATCCATAAGATCTATGTTGTTGAGCTACAGGGCGTCACCTTTCGGGTAAACATGAGTCAGAATAGCAGGGTTATCCAAGCTACTGCCAAGGCAAGGTTTATAGGCGGCTAGGGGCAGGTTCGCTAATAAGATGAACACAGTGGCAAGTTCAAACCTAACGGTAGGTTAGTCTCCTTTCGAACATAAAGTTGTGACCCTAAATTTTTGACACTGTGACCCTAAATTGCTATTCCTGGCGTTGGGTCGTAGAGTTGACACTATGGATATCCGTATGTTATCCGGGCCAGTGTCAGGGTCGACGGGTCACCGTTGGGGCCGATGTACCTAGCTGTCTGTGTGTTGTGGTAAGCCCTTTTAGTGCCCGATAAGCCCTAACTGTAGAAACCTAACTTCCCTAGTGGTACTCGTTTGTCCTTTTCTTTTCTGGCTTTCCATTAAGACCAAGTTGTAGGAAAAAGGGGAACTTAGAAACAATACTATGAATAACATGAACAGCGTATAAACATGATGCTGCCTCGTGGTCTGTGGTGAGAGTACTTGTGACTCGTGATGACTCGTGGTATGCCCAGGCGCGATTCACCTTGACTCGGCCCGATTCAACTTGAATCGAGGGCCGAATTGAAGATTGAAGATCCCTGGAAAACTTCTTCCAGGGATCTTCAGTCTTCAACCTTCAATCCGGGGCCCAATTCAGCTTGAATCGGCCCGATTCAAGGTGAATCGGCCCTGATGCTGTATATCTGTATATCATGTCCTAATTGCTTTTATACTGTTTACTTGCAGTACAGTTATTGCCTATTCTGAACTCATAGCAGTCTTTGTGTAGCCAAGGCTTAGCAGCCACCCCCCCACTCCAGGACCAGGAGCAACCACTGCGTACACGCTTGGGCCTAGAGGACAGCTGAAACCGGCAAGAGGTAGGCACCGTGGGGGGTTCGATATATATATATATATATATATATATATATATATATATATACACATGTGTGTGTGTGTGTGTGTGTGTGTGTGTCTGTGTGTGTGTGTCTGTGTGTGTGCGTAGGTGCTGCTTGTGAGTTGTCACTCCACCCATACTTTGCGAGCACAGCACTGCGACACCCACCCTATTTATTAGATATCATTCACCACGACACTGTTTGTGCCTAAGACGGTTACAATGGCCTGTCCATGCCGCATTCTACATAACCCGCTTCTCCTTCTCACTACAAATTTTCAATCGGGGTATAAGCCCGCATAGGCATCGACTGTGACGAAACAAGGCCGCCAACGGCCAAATATTGCGGATTATTTGCCAACGAAGTGACTCCTTTGGGTGTCGGCGCATTTGTGCCTCAACTTGAGTCGCAACCAGTCAAGCAAATTCGGCGACAAATTACTAGGATTCGACAAGGCTTGCAAAACAAGGCACAGTTTGTGTAGACGTGTCGGTCTTGTACGAATGCTGCAGCGCACAAGAAGCCGTCCAAAGTCCTCCGGTGCTGCTGACGCCACTGCACCAGCGGTCTCCTAAGCTTTGCATTCCACCTACGCGTGTTGCGGCGAACTGCACACAAGCATGGAAGCATGCAAGCTGTTGTGCCGAGAAGCAAATTTTCGCTCGCCAACGCCGACCCACCACCCTCTTCAAAGCTTGCAAAGGAAGCCCTTGCAACCTCAAGTCTGTCAGCAGATATGGACAGGACTCTTGAGTAGAGTCTAGCCGTCCACGTTCCAAAAAAAGCAAGCCGTAGTCTACGACACTGGCTACATCACGCTGTCTTTGAGGTCAGGTAGCAGCTGGCATCCCAGCTGGAAGAATCCAGCTTTTGTCCATCTTCATCGTGTTCCTCACTCACTCCAACTAGCAGACCCTAGAATCGGCTTCCGAATTACCCTTGAAGAACGCCTTAGTGCATTCTTGCAACAGTACCGTATGCAACCATACCGTATCTTTGCAAGGACATAGGTCGAGGAACCAAAATGACAAAG